GTGTCCTGATATAATATAAAAGTTATAATAGTCTAGGACATAAAAATCCAAAACTGACCTTCATGGCAAAAGGTACATGAATAATGCAGAGATCTACATAATCCAGCCCAAGTTTCTTCAGCGATCTCTCCAGGCACTGACGAACCAACTCTGGTCTAAGGAAAGTAGCCCAAATCTACAGTTTCCAAACAAAATTACACATTGTTGTAAAAGAATCAAGACCTGCTATGGTGGTCTCAGCTAAGCTAAGAACATCTGGGGCTAAATTTTTACATATTTTTATCAAAATTTTTCCATACGATGTATTTTGATCATGATTTTCCCCTCACCCAACTTTTCCCAGATCCTTCCCATAACCCTACCCAAATTTTGCTGCTCCTTATAGATGACATCTTCAATAGAATACCGAGATTTATTTGAGTGATAGCAATGTGAGGATAATGAGCAAAATTTAGAAAACAATCAATTTAAGTATTGTAAAAATTAGAGGTTTTGGTCTCAAAAAAGCCAAGAAATGATGGGCTGCAAGTGGGGGCAAATCAAGAGAAGCCACAGATATATAGCAAAACATTAAATCAGAGGGCTGAAAAACATGTAGTAGAAACCAACAGTAAAAGCCCCATTGAGGTATCCAAGTCCATCCTGGGCAGAGTAAAATATCCCTTTGGCTGAAGCTTCCAAGTAACTGATAACAGATAAAGTTGACAAAGGATTTACTATTCTTAGTAAATTCAGAACCAATTCTAAGAGATCCAGTCTAAAATAAAATAAAATAAAACAGCCACCAGTGTGAACATAAGTAGTAAACATCTGCAGAGACCTTGGCTCAGGTGGAATTTCACTAGAAGCCTGCCTTTCCACCTGAGAAAACTTTGAAAATTTCATTCCATCCAGTGCTGAGTTGAGAAAAAGGTTGTCCCTTTGTGAACAATAGTCTCAGCCTCACTCGGTGTTCTACTGAAGAATTAGTTTCTCAGGGCCCAAAGAAGTCAGATTATCCCACAGAACTGTTCCCTTATTTTATATCTAGACAAGGCCTCATATTCAAACACACTGAGTAGCTATATCCCACATTTAATACAGTTGGAGCAAAAGAAGCCTTTTCTTTTTTAATTTTTTTATTTATCAGTGTGTGTGTGTGTGTGTGTGTGTGTGTGTGTGTGTGTACACACACACAAGAAAGAGAGGAAGAGAGAGAGAACACTAATGCATGTAGAGGTAAGATATCAGGCATCATTTCTCTTCTACCATGTACATCCCAGGATAAATTGTTGCCAGACATGGCAGCCTGTATCTTTTTCCACTGAGTCATCTTGTTGGCCCTGTTCTCTATGTTTCTATCATGTGTCTTTGCAATAAAGACGTGATTCAAACTGAGACTAAAGGGGTGATATCTCCCTCCCCAGTAACATATCTGAATTGGCAATGGCTTCCAGCCATTCCTGCTGTAAGTGTTCACCTTGGTGGTATAGAATAAATCCTCCCTCTTCACAGTTCCATCAGTGATCTTGTCTCGAAGAGCCTGTCCAACTTCTTCCTCATTTTGATAAAAGTATGCAGCATCTATGTGACGGAAACCCACATCAATGGCTACTTTGGTGGCCTCAAAGGCCTTGCTTTTTGGAACCTATGAAACAAGAGTATGAAAAGTTGAGGCTATGACCAACTCAGAAAGAAAAAGTCATTTATTTCTTCATAGTATTTTTTCTGAGGTGTTGCCAGCCCAATGGTTGATCTTGTTTGATGATGCAAACCTTGATAGTAGATTTACAATCTACCTGTAAACACAAACTACAAAAAAAAAAACTACCTTCTAAATCTTGGCTGAATGAATTAATGATGTTCGATTCATATGAAACATGTAAATGCAATTTTCATTCAAAAGAGATCAGTTACAAGTAACTAGCTAGCAGGAATGCTGCATACTGGGAGAAAAATTCTAAGGCACTCAGTAGATAGGACAGGTGTGCATACACATAGGTATGTATGGTGTGACAACTGAAAATTGGATCCTATTAACCATCATTCTCAATTTCCACTTAAACAGGCTCTTCAGTTCACTAGAGATTCTTTTATTCCCTTCGTTTTTCAGGTCCTCATGTTCAGCATGTATGCAGTTAGCATTTACGGAGTGCCTTCTTTTTGTCCAATACTATATTAGGCCCTGGAGTACTAGATATTTTTCTATGAACAAATCTCTTCCATGAGATTTCTGAGAAGTGGAGGAGAGAGTAATTACACAAGCAAGTATGAAAAGTGGGTGGGGTAGCCCACACTTACAATGCTAGAACTTTAGAGATGGGGAGGCAGGAAGATCAGAAGGTCAAGGTCATTTTTATCTACATAGTGAGTACAAGGCCAGCCTAGAATCTATGAGACCTTGTTTTAATCATCATTATAATCTTAACAGCTCTCCATCTATGCTTCATATATCTCTATTTTGTTGTGAAAGCCACACAAAAATTTATCTTTAGCATTGAAGACTCCTATGATTGCCAGGACAAATTTTAATACCAGTTAGAAGCTTGATCATGAACACTGGATTGGTTAATTATCAATCAATAGCGACATAATTTACCAGGACTATTTTAATAAGCATATGCATAAATGTATATTGTCTGTCATAGGCTACTAAAGCTCATTGAGAAGCTAGCCCTGCAAGCAGATTTTTCCTATCCACCAACTATAGACACGAGCGTGTTTATGTCAATTGTCCTCCAAAACACTCTGCCCTGGGTCAGATTGACCTTCTGGCTTTGTACCAGGGAGAGGAAAATCTTAAGCAGCTAACAGTATTGAAAACATGTGTTTTAAAAATAGTTAGAATATAAGTCATTCCCAACAGAGGTGATTGCTTTTTATCCCATGATATGAAATGGCTACAGCAAGAAGAAGGAAAAGAGAAAAGGAGGAGCAGGAGCAAAAGCAGAAGAACAAGAAGTAAAGTCATCCCGTAGGAAATTCATCTACAGGGAGAGAGCTAAATAAGGAATTCCAACTTACTGCCTCAACTTCCCCAGTTAGTTCCTGCTGGATGCTGTGAGCATTCAATTTGATGATGTCAACTCTATCTGGAAGTCTCACCCAAGATACTTCACTCTGTCCAGGATGAACTTTTAACTGGAAAATCCTATTTGGCTACCTCAATGGGGCATTCACAGTTAGTTTCTACTAGATGTTTTTCAGTCCCCTGATTTAATGCTTTGCTGTATATCTGCTTCTTCTCTCTGTTTGACCCTCATAACTTATTTCTTTTACTTTTTTACACATACATAATAAATCATTCATTCAAAACCAAAATCATAGCCATCCTAGATGATACTCCAGACCTGTAAACTGTGTATTAGTCCTTTCTAATTTAAACACTAGTTTATTGATTCCATATTTGTCCTTATTGAAAAAAAATTGATCCACTAATTTTACATGAAGGAAATTTACATGAGTCTGTCCCTTGGTCTGCATCAGAACTAGGGAGATTGAAGGGCAGGATGTTAAATCCATATCCAGAAAAAAAAAAAAAACACAGTGAGAACACTAGATATAGCAGATGCCCAGAGAACTGACAACTACTCTTCTGACCAGCTACTCTTACCAGGACAGGGACCACACCTCACTAGCTGCTGTTTGGGGACAGTCAGGACAATTACAAAATGTCCTCAAATTTCAGTCAGTGTACAATTTAGTGATTTAATCTGATATCCTGTGTTTGTGTTGCTCCCAGGAGACTTGACTAGACAAACAAAGTCACAAGGCATACAGCCAAGCTGTCTTTTGCTCCAGCAATGACCCCATAGGGAGGTCATTGGTGGAGTAAGAGTCACATTCCCAATAAAAAGTTCTGCTAGATTATGAAAGAAGTTTCTGTTTGTTCTATTCTATTTCTCACGGGAATGCTTTACCTTTACTTTTGTAAGTGAAAGCATTATGGAATGCTTATGTTCTGTTCCCTAAGATACAATTCTGTCTTTAACAATAGAAAAGCTATAGAACACACAATCTATACTTAATCTATCACAAATGATAATCCAAATAAATTGGTTCTATCTGGCAGTAGTAATTCATCACACTTCCACCAACATCGAGTACATTTATCCCTGTCATTTGGAAACAATCCTTCCCAAGACACCTCAAAGCTTCTATTACCTGTGACTAGAGATAGACACTTTCAGTTCACTGCAGTGGGCTGTTCAGTAAGAAGAGTGATCATATCCCCATTATTACTTTATATCTTGCAAGTCTTCAATACTTACTTATGAACAGAATGATTGTGGATTCTCATAGACATTTTTAAAAGAACACTGGCATTCCAAATACATATCTTTATGCCCATAGATTAGTGCATCACTCGGTCTTTATCAAAGAAGCTTCCTTTTGCCATAGAAAATGACTAATACCAAGACCCACAACTATTTAAGTCCAAAAAAATAGGTATCTATGGAGTGCTTACTTATAAATGGGGCTTCTATAGCACACCCTTCCTTCAAGGGACTCAGGGAACATCATGGAAGAGGAGGAAGAAAAACTGTAAGAACCAGAGATCATAGAAACAATAAAACTGCTATACAACAGTGTCTCCTGGATGTGATGGAGCTGCTTACATTCATGGGCTGACAGCAGCTGTGGTTCTCTGAGCAAAACCTGCACAATATCAATCCAGTCAACACTGTAGCATGAACAGAGGATGAGCTGACAAAGCCCCACCCCCAGCTAAACTGGTACTGACAATTAATGGCTTTTGAGGGAAAAATAATCTGTTTTCTGCAGGCACGTAACCCCAAATAGACTGGTCATGTTCTAGTGGATGGCCTCATGGTCAAATGCATATAGTCAGTATTACTGGATTTAGTGGGTTGTTTTTAAATAGAGAGACAAGAAGAAATGAAGTTGAAAATCTTAAAAACATGTTCAACAAAGAAGTTGAAATTCTCTAACAAGGGCATCTTCTTTTAAAAAAACTCAGAGTAAAGCTGCTATCCAATGTCCCTCCTGTTAGCCATTTCCTCTAGTATCCATTGCCCATATGAATTTCTAGCCAAGAACAGGATGCAGAAGAAGCCTGAGCTTTATATGATAGTAATTTAAAAATTAGTGAGAATACTTACATCAAGAATTCATTGCATTCATATATGTAAGCACTTAAAATATATAGTAAGCATTGAGATTTGTCAGAAAACAATGTTAATAACAATAATGACACATAATCCACCTACAAAATCATTAACCTCCAAATCTTCAGAGCTAACACCTTAGCATCTCACCAAGAACCAATAAGCATCTCCAAGCACGAACAGAAGTAAATGGTAGATGGTGAAAGGGAAGCCAAGATGAATCATCCATCAGGTACAGGTATCCTTCCTTCTGAAAGTACTTCCAAGATCATTAATATCTAATCCTTTAGTTCACAAAAGTTCCACTTACTTCTTCTGAAGCAAATGTACCAAATCCAAGCACTGGCATCAAGTTTCCATCATTAAGCTTCACTGAATAACTATGTTTGAGATCCATGATACTCACACCCCAATAAGTCTGACTCTGTCTTTCCTTGCCCAACAACCTGAGCTGAACAAAGCTCCTGCATTCTTTATTTCTGTCAAGATAGGCGGGGCCGAAATTACAAAGGCTCTAAAATGAAGCTGGAGTGAGTCCACTGGCTTTCTTGTAATCTCTTCATGTCTCTACAGGAATATCTTACAGGAAACACACAGAAAGTTTATGCATTAGAAGACGTTGAATTATCAGCTCCGAAATGAAAAGCTAGCTGTGACAATCTGCCCCTGATAATTACACCAAACTTCCTTTGTAAGATGCAAAACAATCATGAGAGTATTCATTTCTAAACATGAATTCTGTTACAGAACCTTAGTCAATTTCCTTGACCTCTATTTGTTTTATAAATCCTATCAAAAATACTTTATAGAATTTCTCAAACAAAGCTTGCTATCTGCGACCAAGCACATAGACAACAAAATTCCTTTGCAATATTCACCTTTAATTTAGCTATAAAATTATCTTTTTCCCTGTGTTAAGGCTTCATTCAAAATTCAGATTCTCCCCATTTTGTTTCTTTAATCATTTCTGCTCAAGAAAAACTAGATTGATATCACAGATAAATCTCTGGATTGTTACCTTTGTTTAAATAGTTGTCTATTTCCAGAATAAAATAACCTGCTCTCTTCCAGTTCAGTCACCACCAACCTTATACTCTGTTTATTATGTTCAGTATATATGCTTGAGTCTCAGGTTCTTCATGACTCTGGCAGCCTCATTAGACAATATTCATCATGCTTTCTTGTGTCATCTTACATTGTGCTCACATCTATTAATGCAGATCAAAAAAAACCAAATTGGTAAACTTTACTCTAAATTAATTCAGAAAGTCAGCTAGAATCAGAAATCCCTAAGTAGGAGTTTTTTCAGTATCACAGTATATCACACTTCCATGTTTTGAAATTCTACAACTGGTATTCCAACAGCACTATAATTTATCTTGTTATTTACAGTCCATGTAAACATCTCTTGGTGGGGTCAAAATTTTGCCTGATTTTATTACACCTTTTATTGTATATTATCCCAGAATTTTATTGGATGTAAGTTTTATGAATACACATTTCATCTTTTATTTGGTTCAACTGTTAAACTAAACAGAAATAAGGTTACATTCTATGAAAAGGCTTGACAATAATATAGCCCTGACCATAGAGAAGTAGTGGCCAAGGAAGAAAACACTCATACTAGGAACAAAGAAAAACTGAGTAGTCAAGTCAGGCCCATATTGACAACTGATAGAAAGAGGGTTTTTTTTTCTTTCTTACAGTGAATTATAATGTTCTTTCTATGTTAATAAGAAGCCTCACATAATACAAGACAAATATAAAATTAATAAATTTCTATTTTTCTTTCAACTTGGATGTTAGAAGAAAAAAAGGAACCAGAAGAAGCAAGAAACCACAAGCACTCTGTGTTTTCCTGTGAGAAATGGATCCCAATGAAACTGCAACCAATAACCAGGAGAAAACTGCCATGCTTTAGTTTTGTCCTGTGTCAAAGCCTCATAAGAAAGGATCAGGTGAAAAGATTATTCTGCCTGAGTCAGTCCCTGGAAGATACCAAATAGACAAATCTCTTAAAGAATGCACAGAAAACCAGAAAGAAAAAAAAAACAAGTGAAGGAAACAATTCAAATAGTTCAAGCCTTGAAACCTGAAATAGAAACATTGTGGAGAGGGAGGAGGGATGAGCAAAGAAGCCAAGACAGTGATGCAGAAACCCACAGAAACAGTTGACTGACCTAGTGAGAGCATGGAGACCCTAGTCATAAAGCTGTGGAAACAGAATTGGACTGAACCAAGCCCTCTGAAATATGGGTGCCAGCTAGGACAACAAAACACTCTATGGGACCTCTAACAGTAGAGCCAGTCTTTAACCCTAGAGCATAAGTGGATTTTGGGAACCCATTCCCTATGGAGGGATACTATTGCAGCCCAGATACAGCAAGGAGGGGCTAGGCCCTCCCCAAAATGATATGACAGACTATGAAGGTCCCTGGTGGAGGGCTTCACTATCTCTGGGGAGGAGTTTGGGGATGGGTTGTGGGGTTTGGTGGGAAACATTGGAGAATGGAAGGTTGAGGGAATGGGGGTGGATGCGTAAATATGAGTAGTAATTAAAGAATTTTTAAAAGGAGGTCAAAAATGAAACAATAAAAGAAACACAGAATGAAGGAATTCTTGAAATAGAAAAGCTTGGTAAACAATCAGGAACTACAGATGTATGTTTAAATAATAGACTACAAGAGATGGAAGAGAGAAACTCAGATTTTGAAGACTCACTATAGGAAATACAGTCATCCACCAAAGAAAATCTCAAGCCCAACAAATCCCTAACACAAAATATCCAGGAAATATGGGACACCATGAAAAGAACAAACCTAAGAAGAATAGGTATAGAAGGAAGTGAAGAAATACAGCTCAAGGGTACAGAAAACATATTCAACAAAATCATAGAAGAAAACTTCCCAGTCTAAAGAAGGACATGACCATTAAAGTACAAGAAGCTTACAGAGCACCAAATAGACTGGACCACAAAAGAAGTCTGCTCGCCACATAATAATCAAAACACGAAACTTACAGAATAAAGAAAAAATACTAAGAGCAGCAAAGGAAAAAGGCCAAGTAACATATAAAGGCAGACCTTTCAGAATTATATCCAATTTCTCAGTGGAAACTCTGAAAGCCAGAAGGTCCTGTAGTCCTTCTACAAACTCAAAGGGAACATGGATGCCAGCCTACACTACAATACCCAGCAAAGCTTTCAATCACTACAGATGGAGAAAACAAGATATTCCATGACAAAATCAGATTTAAACAATATATATCCACAAATACAACCCTACAGAAAGTACTGGAAGGAAAAATCCAACCCAATGAAGATAACTACACTCACAAAAACATAGGCAATAAATAATCCCAATTTAGCAAACTCCAAAAGAAAAAGGGGGGGAAATCCACACACAATACCACCAACAAAAAAATCCAAAACAAACTAGCATTAACAATCAAAGGTCACTAATATCCCTCAATGTCAATGATCTTAACTTACCTATAAAAGGGCACAGGCTAACAGAATGGATACAAAGAAAGAATTCAACCTTCTGCTGCATACAAGAATAACATCTCAAAGTCACAGACAAATGTTACCTCAGAGTAAATGGCTGGGGAAAGATGCTCCAATCAAATGGACCAAAGAAACAAGCAGGTATAGCAATCCTAATATCTAAAAAATTAGACTTGAAACTAAAATCAATCAAAAGACATGAAGAAGGTCATTTCATATTCATCACAGGAAAAGTCCATCAAGATGAAGTCTCAGTTCTGAACATCTATGGCCCAAATACAAAGGCACCCACATTCGTAAAAGAAACATTACTAAAATTCAAATCAAACATAAAACCTAACACACTTATAGTGGGAGGCTTCCACACTCAACTCTCACAACTAGACAGGACAACCAGACAGAAACTTAACAAAGAAACAAAGGAACTAACAGAAGTTATGACCCAACTAGGTTTAACAGACATCTATAGAACATTCCATCCAAACACAAAAGAATACACCTTCTTCTCAGTGCCACATGTAACCTTCTCTAAAATCGACCACATACTCAGCAACATAGCAAACCTCAACAAATGCAAGAAAAACCTCTCGATGAGGAGAAATGACAGGTCATCCACCAAAGTATATCTTACGAACTGTATAGAAATCTCACAAAGGAAAAGGAAGTGTTTTGTTTTTTTCTTCACAGGTTTCAGTGCAGAATTCTATCAGAAATTAAAAGAAAAACTAATACCACTACTCCTCAAACTGTTCCACAATAGAAGCAGAAGGGACATTGCCAAACTCTTTTAATGAGGCTACAATTACCTCAGTACACAAGACATACAAAGACACAACTTAGAAAGAGAACTACAGACAAATATCCCTCATGAACATTGATGCAAAAATACTTAACAAAATACTGGCAAATTGATCCAAGAACACATCAGAAAAATCATCCACCATGATCAAGGAGGCTTTATCCCAGGGATGTAGAGATGGTTCAACATACAAAAATCCATCAATGTAATCCACCATATAAACAAACTAAAAAAGAAAAACCATACGATCATCTCACTAGATGCTGGGAAAGCATTTGAAAAAATCCAGGATGCCTTTTTAAGGTGTTGGAGAGATCAGGGAAAACAGGAACATACCTAAACAAAATAAAAGCAATATACAGCAAACCAACTGCTAAAATCAGGAACAAGACAAGGTTGTCCATTCTCTCCATATCTCTTCAATATTGTCCTTGAAGTTCTAGCTAGAGCAATAAGACAGCAAAAGGATATCAAGGGAATACAAATTGGAAAAGAAGTCAAATTTTCACTATTTGCAGATGATATGATAGCTTACATAAGTGACCTGAAAAACTACCAGGGAATTCCTACAACTGATAAACACCTTTAGCAAAGTGTCAGGATACAAGATTAAATCAAAAAAATCAGTAGCCCTAATATATATAGATGATAAATGGGCTGAGAAAGAAATCAGAGAAATGTCACCCTTTACAATAGCCACAAACAACATAAAATATATTGGAGTAACACTAACCAAAAAAGTGAAAAACCTGTATCATAAGAATTTTGAGTCTCTAAAGAAAGAAATTAAAGAAGATACCAGAAAATGGAAAGATCTCCCATGCTTTTGGATAGGTAGGATCAACACAGTAAAAATGGTAATCTTGCCAAAAGCAATCTACAGATTCAGTGCAATCCCCATCAAAATCCCAGCACAATTCTTCACAGACTTGAAAGAACAATTCTCAACTTTATATGGAAAAACAAAAGACCCAGGATAGCCAAAACAACCCTGTAAAATAAAGGAACTTCTGGAGGCATCACCATCCCTGACTTCAAGGCCTAATATAGAGCTATAGTCCTGAAAACTGCTTGGCACTGGCAGAAAAATAGA